ATTGTGTGATCGATTGTGGGAACGATTGTGGGATCAATTGTGAGATCGATCGAATGAGATAGATCGAGTGAGATCGATTGTGAGATCGATCGAGTGAGATCGATCGAACGAGACCGATAGTGAGATCGATACTGAGATCGATAGTGAGACCGATCGAGTGAGACGTTGGTTCCCCCCCTTCCCGAACCTCCTTATCACCCGAAGGGTGGTCGTATAGGTACGGCTATAGGGCTATAGGGTTATAGTGCTATAGGGATATATGGCGATTGGGCTATTGGGCTATAGGGATATAGGGCTATTGGGCTAGGCACCCCCGGGCACTTCTGGGCGCCCCGGGCACCCGGGCACCCCTGGGCACCCGGGCACCCCCGAGCACCCCCGGGCACCCGGCCCCGGCCACCGAAATCGGCCACACACCTGGGCACCCGGGCACCCCCGGGAACCCCCGGGCACCCGGGCACCCGGCCCCGGCCACCGAAATCGGCCGCTCACCTCACCTCAGCTTTATATCCGCTAGGACCCCTACAGAGACAAGCTCTGATTGGGGAACTGTACTCCCATACTCGCTACTCAATACTCACTACTCACTCCCCGCTACTCACTATTTATTCACTACTCACTACTTACTACGCCCTACTCACTCGTCACTACATAGTCTGTAGTCACAAGTCACAACTCAGTAGCCACTAGTCACTAGTCACTACTCACTACTCACTACCCACTACTCACTACTGACTACTCTCTACTCACTAATCACTACCCACTACTCACTACTCACTCCTGCCTACTCTCTACTCACTACTCACTACTCACTGCGCCCTACTCGCTCCTCACTACTCGCTACTCCCTACTCTTTACTCACAACTCACTACCCACTGCCACGACCCACAACTCTCTATTCATCACTACTCACTACTCACTACTCACTACGCACTACGTAGTACTCAGTACTCACTACTCACTACTCACTACTCACTACTCGCTACTCAACTCACTACTCACTACTCACTACGCACTACTCACTACGCACTACGCACTACCCACTACTCACCACTCACTAACCACTACCCGCCACCCACTACTCACTACCCACAAATCTCTACCCACTACTCATTACTCCCTACTCCCTACTCAGTACTCACTACTCGCTACTCGCTACTCACTACTCACTATTCACTACTCGCCACTCAAGACTCACTTATCAGTACACACTACTCAGTATTCACTACTCTCTACTCCCCACTCCCTACTCCCTACTCCCTACTCGCCACTCACTACCCACTACTCACTACCCAATACTCACTACTCACTACGCACTAACTCACTACTTACTACTCACCACTCCCTACTCCCAACTCCGTACTCCCTACACGAGGGGGGGGGATCCGAACCCCCCCACACCCCTCTCCAGCGCCAAGCGGGGGGGGGGGGGGGGGGTCCGGACCCCCCCCCCTTCAAGGGAGGGGGGGGGGGGTCGGGACACCCCCCCCCCCTTAAGGAGGGGAGGGGGGGGGGGGTCCGGACCCACCCCCTTGAAGGGGGGAAAGGGGGAGGGGGGTTCTGGACACCCCCCTTTATCGTATTCAGGGAAATCCACTGGCGCACTTCCCCAGTTTTATCATTAGTATTCGTCGTACCCCCGCTGGCCATCCCAGAAGCCCACGAAAGTGGCGACATATTCGCAGATCGCAGCACACCATGGGGACGGCGAGGTCTCGTGGTGATCTGCGTATGACGTACTTCCGATGGCCCTCCCAGGAGCACACGAAAGTGGCGAAATACTCGCAGATCGCAGGCCCCCAGGGGGCGGCGAGATCTCGTGGTGATCTGCGCATGATGTACCTCGGCTGCCCCCCTTCTGCAGCCCACGAAAGTGGCGACAGCTTCGCAGATCGCAACACCCCAGACGTACCTCCGCTGCCCCTCCCAGAAGCCCACGACAGTGGCGACAATTTCGCAGAACGCAGCCCCCCAGGGTGCGGCGAGGTCACGAGGCAGGTGTCCTGCTCCTAATAAACTCTCTCCTCCGCGTCCGCCCCAGAAGGCTCTGGACGCTCTGGACCTGAGATCTGGAAACTGCAGCATGGCGATAAATCACGCCCAGAGCCCCAGACACCATCATTCTGCTGCACTTCTCCGACACGGACCGCTCTGTGACGGCCCCATGGGGCCCGGAACTGGGCGAAAACGCCAAGCGCAAAAAACAAAGAATGCAACCGCCGGATCTCACAGAAATTCCCCCCTGCCCGGGGCCCCCCCTGGCACTAGGAGGAGGAGGAGAAGGAGAAGGAGGAGGAGCAGGAGGAGGAGCAGGAGCAGGAGGAGCAGGAGGAGGAGGAGGAGGAGGAGGGAAGCCCCCCCCCTCTCAGTCCCGCGCCTGCGTGCACGGGGCCGCTGAAGACGAACGTGCCAGGCGGCGCGCCCTGCACCATGTCTCTCCTGCTCACCCCATTCTCCACTGGAGGAGGGGCCAGGAGCAGGAGCACGGAGTAAAAGGAGCGGGACGAGGAGGAGGAGGAGGAGGAGGAGGAGGAGGAGGGAGAAGGGAAAAAGGAGGAGAGAGGAGGAGGAGAAGGAGGAGGAGGAGAGAAGGAGGAGTGAAGGAGGATGAGGGAGGAGGGAGAAGGGAGGAGGGAGGAGGATGCAGGATGGAGGAGGGAGGGGAGGAAGGGGAGGAGGAGGGAGGAGGCAGGATGGAGGAGGAGGAGGAGGAGGAGGAGGAGGAGGAGGGCGAGGAGGAGGAGGGAGGAGGAAAGGACGGGCAGGAGAAGGAGGAGGAGGAGGACAAGGAGGGAGAATGCTTCCAAAAGCTCGTTGTTGACACGAATCGCGGCAACAACCGTTCCCTCGGCCGCCACCTGCTCCCACGTCCCCCCCCCCCCGCGGTACCGTCACCCTTCGCGGCGGCGCCGCCTTGGAGTGGTCCAGGGGTGCATACTTCCAAGACGGCACCAGCTCAGATCGTGACATTGCCGCCCCCCCCCCAGTAACATCCGCCTTCGCTAGATGGCATCACTTTCTACAATATTCTCGCATAGACAAGCAAGCATAGAGAAACAACCCATTTATAGAGAGAGAGATAGAGGAAAGCAAGACATGGGGGGAACACATCGAAAGTGCCTTCCGCCAGCGACATGACCAACTCACACACACACACACACACACACACGCACACACACACACACAGACACACACGCACGCACACACACACACACACACACACACACACACGCACGCACGCACGCACACACACACACACACACACACACGCACGCACGCACGCACACACACACACACACACACACACACACACACACTTGGTTTGCGTCGGCGGCTAGGCAGAGCAACTGCGCTGGCGGAAGAGCAATCACAACGGGGATACCGTTGAAGCGAATTGTGCCAGAATGCAGGAACATGGGAGGAGACAGGGAGGGCGGCCGAAGGAGAAGAGAGGGACCGAGGGCCGCTCAGGGGGACGGGACACACACAGACACAGACACAGACACACACGCAAACATACACGCACACAAACAAACAAACAAACAAACCCATCAACTAACAATAGCAAAGCATGCAGGGTCCAGGTCCAGCGCCGACGGTCCAGCCCGCCCTGGACACCAGGCTGCACACACAGAAGCGTGGTCTGGTCTGGTCTGGTAGTGCTCACCCGGATGGTGGATCAAACCAAAGTAGGGAGGTTCAAGGCAATGTTTGAAAAAGGCTCCAAAAATGGTGAGGGTTCAAAACAATTGTTGCTAGCTCTCGAGACACGATCCGCGTGAGGGGTGTGCAAAATTGACTGGTCGACGCGTCTCGGGGACCAGGCGTTGGGTGTTCAAGAAAAAAAGTCTGGCCCTAGAAATGGGGAAAGGGGGAGGCCTGGGCGGTGGCTTTCCTCCCGCACCGGAAGAGGAGGAGGAGGGAGAAGGGAGGAGGCTTGCATTGCGAGGCATTGCGTTGCAGATCATTGATTGCATTGTGCTGCGATGAATTGTATTGCATTGTCTTGTTGCGTTACATCGCGTTGCGCTGCATTGTGTTGGAGCACGTTGCATTGCATCGTGTTGCATTGCATTGGGCTGCAATTGGATGTGTAGTCCTTTGCGATGCACTGGGTTGCGAGCGAGGGGGAGGAGGGGGGAGGACAGGGAAGGAGGAGAACAGAAGGAGTTAGAGAGGAGGCGACGAAGGAGGAGTGACAAGGGAGGAGGAGGAGTGAAGAAGGGGGATGCGGGAGGGGGGAAGGAGGAGGGAGAATGGAAGAGGAGGAGGAAGGGAGAAGGACGATGAGGAGGAAAGTATAGTGATGTAGCTCGCTCCTCTGGCCCTTCTCATCGTCGTCGTCGTTGTTGTCGTCGTAGTGGCAAACTCCGCCACCGCGTCTCACAGCACGAAGTGGAGTGCCATCAGGATGGCGACGAATAGTGGAATCGTATGTCTTCGGACACCGCGGCGCTGCCACGTGGCGGGTAGAATGGAATAGTATTTTGTCGCCCGCCCAAGCATTGCCATGAGACATGTGGGCCGGGATTGATTTGTCTTGGGCCCCCGCGGCGCTGACACGCGACGCAACGCGCATTGCGTTACGGTGCCTTGCGTTGCACAGCGTCGCATTGTACTGCATTGCGCTGCGATGCGTTGCATTGTATTGCGTTGCGTTGCGATGCATTGCATTGAGCATGTTCTGGCCCTGGCCAAAGTAGCCCTCTACTAGTACGCTCCAGCCAGGTTCCAAAGGGCCGTACCAGTAGGCCAAACTATGGGACGCACAGAGACATACTAATATTATATGTCTTCCTTGGAGGCCCACGTCCGACCCGATCATATAGTATGGCCATCTTGTAGTATATCGTTACCCGAGCGGTGTGGCCAGAAAGCACCCGCCACAACGCATATACTATCAGATTTCTCGGTGCGCGCGTCGCCCCTGGGAAGGGCGACGCACACATAGTACTAGTATGCTGGGGTGACGTCGAAAGTAGCCGTACTCATAGCCACGCCAGCGCGGACTTCCCAGGAACTCTCGAGCGGGGGCCTTTCTCCGCCGGTCGCACGCGTAGGACAAGAAATAGCCTTATACTAGTACGCCCTGGCCCCCGGGGGCCGTACCAGCAGAACGTAGCTGTACTATAGCCCCGCCGGGGCGGACGTTCGAGCATGTCTCGAGCGGGGGCCCTCTCCGGCGGTCGTACGAGCAGGCTGAAGCAGCCCTACTACTGCGCCCCGGCCAGGCTCCAAGGAACCGTACCAGCAGGCCAAAGTAGCCCTACCTGTAGCCCTACTTGTAGCCCTCCCTGAATCTCCCCCACCTCGATCGCTGATGTGTTCCCCCCCCCGGTGTTCCTCCTCTTCCGCGCCACCATCCGTGTAAGTCGTGGTCGCCGTAATCGTCGTCGGAGTCGGAATCACCCGTCGTCCAAACATGAATACCCAATATCATCCTCATCGTCATCCTCATAACCACCACCAGCATCATCATCACCATCATCAGCAGCATCATCAGCAGCAGCATCAGCATCGCAAACATCAGCATGATCATCATAATTGTGATCAGCGCCATCGTCATCGTCATCATCATCATCATCATCATCATCATCACCATCATCATCATCACCAGCATCATCATCATCACCATCATCATCATCATCACCATCATCCTCATCCTCATCATCCACAGCATCATCAGCAGCAGCATCATCATCAGCAGCATCATCAACAACCTCAGCATCAGTATTACTGACATCAGCAGCGTCATCATCATCATGCAGCGGGATCATCATCATCATCAACATCATCATCCTCGTCATCAGCAGCATCACCAGCATCATCATTATCGTCATCTGCATCATCATGAGCATCATCATCGTCACTATCAGTATCGTCATCATCCCCCGTACCATAAAGACACCATCGAATCACTTACAGCATCATCATCAGCAGCAGCAGCATCGTCGTTGTCGTCATCACCAGCAGCAGCATCAGCATCAGCATCAGCATCACCATCACCATCCCCTTGAATCAACGGAATTGCCATCATTGTCATCGCTATCCTTGCCGTTGACTGCCCGACGCATCCCAGAAGGTCTTGAGCAACCTGGAGGGGACGTCAACCTCGAAACGCTCAAGCACCCTGCCACCAGGCAGCCCGCCAGGCGAAGGGAGATGCAGCATCAGCACTGAAGCTCACGAACCGAGGACACAGGGAGGAGGGGAGGAGGGAGGGAGGAGGACGAGGAGGGGATGAGGACGAGGAAGGGATGAGAGAGAGTCCGGAGTGTCGAACGTCTCCTGGGCACATTCCTGAACAAACACCGCCACCGTAACAACTCTCGGAGGCCTGCGCGGAGTTCTTGGATCGGCGCTGGGCCCCCTGGTGGCGCCTCCAGCGCCGCCCCTGGCGCGCTCCGCGCCAGGGAGTGGTAGCCAGCGCAGATCCAAGAAATCCACGCGGATCTTCGAAAAATGAACATCTATGCCGTTGTTTCTTCTTCGAAAGAGGCTCCGGGAGCAGTCATCGTCGAATGGAAGAGGATGCCAGGACTGGGACAGCATCGGACCCGGGCAAGATCAGGGATCTCTGACCCAAGGCGGCTATGGAGGAATTCCTGGCCTCTTGAGCCAGGTTCTGTCTCCATGCCCTGCTGCTCCTGACACCCGAAGCGGGGGGCAGCAGCAGGGGCATGGACCCAGACATCCAGCCGCTCCAACTCTTTCGATGCGTGGGCCCCAGAGGTCTGTCGGGGACGCACTGACCCAGGTCAACGCAAACCAATATCCTGCAGGATCCTGCAGGATCCTGCACCCAAACCCGGGTCAATGCGCCCCTGTCCCTGCAGGATCCTGCAAGAGCCGGCGCTCTGACTGACCCCCGTTGGCATTGACCGCCGTCTCTTGAGCCCCGAGTCTGGACCACTTCCCCAGGGCCAGCTTTTCGTCCTGAGTCGCTTCTTGACGCTCAAGAGGCCCAGCGAGGGCCCCCTGGAGGCCGAAGACTACCAAAAGCCCGCCGCTCCTCCCGCCTTCCTTGGAGCGTCGCGTCTCTGGGGATCGAGCGTCCATCGTCGAGGCCTGGCCCGCCCGACGAATCCCTCCCGGGCACGGGGCGCACCAGAGGCGCCGCCGCCGTGTCCTGGTGCCGCGGACGGTGGCCCCGGCGCTCGCGGAGCCCCGCGCCCCACGCGGCCCGAGGCCCGACCACGCCCTCGCCCAGACAGCCCCGCCCCACATACATCAGGTCGGGCATGTCCTCCTACAGGCGGACTTTGGACGAGTCAAAAAAGAATTGAAAAATCGTCCCCAGACTGTTCTTTCTACGATGTTTGAACATTCTTCCTGTATGATATGTTTGAATATTCCTCCTGTAAAGGGACGTGCCCGACTTACCATATACACAAAGTCTTGAGGAGATGCAGTAGGAGCTCGACCACAGGAAACCTTCC